TAACGTTCTATACTATTCTACAATGTTCCTTATGAGTCACAGTCGAGTCATAACCTGAGTCACTACAAGTCCTAGAACCTTCAGGCGCATTCCAGCGCCTTCTACAAGGTTCTACTCTATTCTGCGTGTCATTACTAAGCGTTCATGACACTATCCCCTCTCTAGGGCGCAATCTTCCTAGATGCGCGCGAATTCGTCAAGCGCGCCCATACTGATCGACATAGTTGAGCATTTCTGCCCACTCGATCCTCCATCTCTCTATGTTTTGGCCACTCTTGCCATGCATCTTCCTCAGCTCGTTAGCTATCGTGCCCTTGACACGATTCCGGACGTACTCGTCGCTGTCGACGTGTGCGCCTACGATCGGGTGCCTCTTCCTCATGCACGTGCCGAGGTCATGGTACCTGTCGCAGAGCCAACACCTTTTTACCATCGACGCGTTCCCTTCCGCCGCCTTGTCTGCCCTCCTGATCCAGTACTGGTCGCTCGCAACGCGGAGCACCCTCTTCTCCCACAGCTCCTTCTTGTCAGGGTTCTTCATCTCCTGCAACTCCCTCAGTCGCGTGGCGTTGTAGTCGATGATGTTCCCCTCGTGGTCGGTGGCGATGAGGTCCCAGTACTTGTCGGCTTCGGGGTCGTTGGGCCTGACCCCTTCCCAGGGCGCATGGATATACGCCGGGAACTTTTCATCCCAGTTGACGCTGGGGTACGGTTCGGGCTTGGGCCAGTTGTCGGCGTCGAGCTTCTTCACCGCGTCGTCGGTGTAGGTCACATAGGTGACACCGGCGACCTTCTGCGTTGTCGCGCCGTACTTCTTCGCCTCTTCTTCATCGCGGAATGGCGACCAACCGAGCGGTGCTGCATACGTCTCGGTCATTCGTCCCTCTTCTGCTTTTTCTATCGACTCACTGCACGTATCCCATGGCATTGGTTCATCGGCGGATGCGGGCCATCCGGACTCGGATGCGGGGAACGGCTTGTCGTCATGCCCGTCATTCGCTCTCGTCGAGCTGACCTCGTCGCGGTCCTTTCGTCGTGTAAGTTTCCCTTTTCGCTGCAAAGTTCTGCCTCTGCTTACTTTGCGACGGGGCACCTGCTTCCCTTTCTTCTTCTTCTGCGCTACGGTCCATCCGTCACCTTCATCAGTGTCGGATGTTAGCGTTGGTGTCGTCGCTGGGGTGTTGTAAACTGTCTCACCCTCTTCCTCGGTCTTGACCTCGGTCTTGTCCTTGTCGGTAACCTCGACGATCCGATCGATTTGCATCGTCTTCATCTCGTCGATGTCGTTCTGTATCTGCTTCTTCGCCTGGTCCCAGGCTGTTCCTCGCCAGTCGACCATAATGTCGAGGGCGGCTTGTCCGTGCGCGATCGCGTCGTCCAGTCGGCCCTCCTGCTTCGCTATGGTGTAGCGGTTCAAGAGGGTGGTGATAGAGTCTCTGTATATTGCCCAGACCGTATCGATTAGTTTTTGCGCTTCATCGGTACGGACAGAGAACTCTCGGAGTACTGACACGGTCATGTTGCCAGTCTCGTTCGTGGTTGGGGTGGTTGCCGGCATCTTGGATGTCGAGTGAGTGGTGAGTGAGGGGTGAAAAGTTTGGTGTGTGCTTGGGGTGTGGGGGTCAGAACGCTCTAGTCGTTGAAAATTTCGAGTTGTTCTACCCCCCTTTTATGCTCCTCAGACATCCTTGTCTGACTCATTCGTTATCTTCTTGTCATGCCTGACAGTCATCGGCCCGTTCGTTTCTCCGAGTCATGTCGCTAATTTCGTCGTCGTTTCTCGGCTTGACAGTACAGTGCCATAAGCCGAAGTGCTTCTTGAGGCGGTCCAACTGCGCTTTTGTTGTTGCTGTGGAATTCCTTGACCAGTTCCATAGCATGTCCCATGCGTGATAAGGGTATCCATTCATTCTCTGAGTCAGGATAGCCCTTCCATTTCACGCAGTACGCATAGCCTCTTCCTTGGCGTCTCGATTTGGTGATCGTTTCTATCTCATATTCTTCTTGTCCGTCTATGAGATCCGGTGGCGGTTTCTGGTGTGACTCGCCGTATTCTTTCGTCCGCGTGTATGGTGTTAGAAGCGATGCATGAAACACAGGATGTATCTTCCATGTCCTGGGTAGTTTCAGCTTGAATGCACCGGTTCCTACTTCGTCTTCTATCTTGAACGGCCCGAATCGCTTTGGTGCCAGCTTGGCTGTTGGGTAGTTATTCTTGAGGTTCTTCCCTTCTAGCCATACTTCGTCGCCTTTCTTGAACTGCGGTCCTGTTATCCCGTGTATCGATTCTTTCAATTGAATCGAGTCAGCTGCTATCTTCATTGCTGCTTGTGCTTCTTGTCGTGCGTCGTTTATTTGCTTTATCCTGTCTTCTGCCGACTGCATACTGCCCTGTGCCCTGAAGGCTGTCGGCCATTCCGGTTTTCTGCCATTCAGTATTTCAAACGGCGACTTCTTCGTAATCGCATGCTCTTTGATGTTGTGTGACAGTTCCGCGTATGGTAGTAGCTCTACCCAATTGTTCTGGTTTCGGTTGCAGAACACCCGTAGGTATTGTTCCAGTTCTTGATTCAGTCTTTCGACTGCTCCATTTGTTTGAGGGTGATATGCCGTGGATAACGCCGACCTAACTCCCATTCCGGTAAGTATACTCTTCATAACTCTTGATGCGAATTGTGGTCCCCTATCCGAGATGATCTTCTTGGATATTTCTCTTTGGCTGAATACTCTTCGCAGTATGATTTCCGCCGTTTCGTCCGCATTTATCGTCTTCGTGCACGGTTCTACAATCATGCTCTTGGATAGATGATCTGTGATAACACAGATTGAATCTTTCCCTTTGCATAACGGTAAATCCGTTACAAAGTCGATGTTAATGGTGTGAAATGCGTACTCAGGTATCTCCGTTGGGTGTATCGGTTCCTTGGTCGGGTTATTCTTGATTTTCGTTTCTTGACATGTTGCGCATCCGTCGACATATTTCTTGACAAACGTCGACATTCCTGGCCACCAGTAGTTCCGTTGTACTAGTTCCATCGTCTTGTATCTTCCTGGGTGTCCTCCTATTTTCGAGTCGTGGTATTCCTTCACGATGTCTCGTCGTAATTCTTCGTCTTTCGGTATGTATACCTTTCCTCTGTAAAGGATTATACCATCTTCGGTGTTCCATTCCTTCATGCCTTTTGCGAGGCTTTCTGATCCTGCGGCCTTGATCGTTCCTATCGCTTTCGTTACTTCTTCATCGTATTTGTCGTTACTTCTGATGCGTTGTTCCCAGTCGTCGTCTTCGTTCTTTATCCGTATTTTCCTGATGATCATCCGCTGTTTGTCATCGTGTTGTCTTCTCCCTATAAATCGTGCCTTGAACATTGTCGTTGGTAGGAGTATCACGTCTTTGTTGTCATCTTCTACTCCCATCTTGTGGTCTTCTCTTCTTGATAGTTCGTCGGCCTTGTTGGTCTTTCCCGGTTTGTGCACTAGTTCGAAGTCGAACCTAGTGAGAAACTGCGCCCACCGCGCTTGCCTTCTTGATAGTTTCTGCGATTTCTGAAAGTACTCCAGGTTCTTGTGATCCGTCCATATTTCGATCTTGTACTTGCATCCTTCTAGGTAATGCCTCCATGCTTCCAGCGAGTTGATTATCGCGAGCAGTTCTTTGTCGTGGACGTCGTAGTTTCGTTCCGTTGGTGTGAGCGATTTTGAAATGTATGCAACGGGGTGCCATAGGTCGTCATCCATCAGTTGAGAGAGGACTGCACCATAGGCATAATCCGACGCATCACATTCTATCCTCATTGGTCTGTCTGGGTCCGGCATAGCGAGCATTGGTGTCTTGACGAATTGGCTCTTCAATTCTTCAAATGCTTGCTGGCATTCCTCCGACCAATTCCATTCTTTATCCTTCTTGGTGAGTTCGTGCAGTGGTCTTGCAATCTTGGAAAATCCTTCAATGAATCGTCGGTAAAAGTTGCAGAATCCAAGAAACGCTTGTACTTGTTTCACCTTCTGCGGTACCGGCCATTCCATGATTCCCTTCACCTTGACAGGATCCATGGCGATATGTCCTTGCTTGATGATAAGTCCGAGATACTCGATTTCTTCTTTCTCGAATTCGCACTTTTCGGGTTTAACGAAGAGATCGTTTTCTTGAAGTATCTTGAGGACCTTCTTCATCACTTCCTTGTGTTCGTCCTTCGTTTTCGTGAATACCAGAATATCGTCCAGGTATACCGCTACCACTCCCTGGTTAATCAGCGGTTCAAATAGTTCGTTCATCATTCGTTGGAATGTTGCTGGCGAGTTGCATAAACCGAAGTACATGACTAGCGGTTCATACAATCCTTTGGGTGTCGAGAATGCGGCTTTCCATTGGTCTCCGTCCTTGATCAGGATGTTGTTGTATCCCCAGCGTAGGTCCAGCTTGGAATAGTACTTTGCATCCTTGAGTCGGTCTACCAATTCTTGAATTAATGGTAGTGGAAACGCATCCTTGACTGTGTGTTCGTTTAGGTATCGATAATCTTGCGTTGGTCGTAGCTTCCCGTCTTTCTTTCCTACGAAGAAGAACGGTGATGCTTGCGGTGATTTCGATGATCGTATGTATCCTTTGTCCAGCTGTTCCTTGATCCAGTTGTCCAATTCATTCCGTTCCATGCCGAAAAGCGGGTATGCTTTGGCCGATTTTGGTTTGAATGATTCCTTCAGGTTTATCTCGTGGTCCCATGGCTTCGGCTTTGGGAACCTCTCCGATTTCTTCTTGTCAAAAACGTCGAGATATTCATGGTATTCGGTGGGTATCATTTCTTCTGTGGACTTTTCCTTCTTGTCTTTGCTTGCTTCCTGCGCCAATTTCTGCGCCATATTTGAGTACTTCCTGTCGTTCCGTTCCTGTAATTCTTTAATCGTTAGCACCTGCATTTTTCGTACCTTCATTTCTTCAATCGCGTATTGTATCATTTCTTCTTCGTCGTCTTCATCCTCTTGGATGGATACTGGTGCTTCGTATTTCTTGACTTCCTTGTCAGTTCTTAACCGTCGTACCTTTGTCAAAGCTCCCTTGATGTCTTGTATGAGATCATGGTTTGCTTGGATGGTAATGGGCGGTTTCGTGCGGCATTCTTCCGGACACCTCGTCATCTTGATGGTGTACCGTTTCCAATCAATTTCGGGGTTATGTTCAATCAGCCAGTCCGTTCCTAAGACTACGTCGGTATTCCCGATATCCCCGACGTAGAATCTGTTCTTCTCCTTGTGTATGTTGCCTTGACCGTCATCTATTTCCAGGATGAGGTCCGTCTTGTATTTGCAGACATACGTCGCTTCGTTAAATCCTTGCATCTTGAATGGTTTATCAACGCGATCAAACCATATTGCGTTTTTCAACACAAATTGCTGATTGATGACTAGACCCGTCGCACCGGAGTCTATCAAAACGTTCGCAGCAGCCCTTTTCGTGCCTCTCTGGACGGTTCCTTTTATCTCAATGGAGGGAGCATTCAACCGGTGAATCATCCCAACTTCCATTGTCTCGTCCTTTAGTACATCATATCGGTTCTTCGAGGCAAAACGTCCTTCCGGTCTTTGAGCGGCTGCCCTCAAAGACCGGTTCCAAAATCCTCCTGTATCATCAT